TCTCCAATTATAAAAAGGTTTTTTATTTTGTTCATTTATTATTTCTTTTTGTTCTTGAGTAATAATACATAAGGTCGAACGCGTCGCTCTAATGGACTTTGCATACACATTTCTTCGTGCTAAACTATTAAATGGCAAACAGAGCAATGCTAGAATTGCGAAATATCTTGTTCCTTTAACCGTTCCTTCGAAACTTCGAGGGTTTAAAAGTGTCGAATGACAAAGCATTTATTTAAATACTCAAACCATAAGCTGATTAATTGGAATTTTCATATTTTTTTTTTTTTTTTTTTTAAAACATATTCTGCGGATCAAAATTTTCTAGATAATCTCATCAAAAAAAAAAAAAAAAAATTTTAAATATCGATCAGGAAAAAGAAAAAAAAAAAAAAGTGCAGTTTACATTATATTATCTTTTTAATATGAGGAGGACATGTTACTAGTAAGTAGCCTTAATGGATATTGTTGGGTGAAAAAACCTTGTGGCCCTATCGAAGCTCGAAAGAATCTTAAAGATCAAACATTCCAAGAGTCAAAGTGTGGCCTATAATAATAATAAAAAAATCTCTTCTTTGGTCGCTGTAGAATAAAATAATAGAGTCTTAAAGAGACTGTCATTCTAAGAGCATTACCCAGAGGAGATACAATTCTCTAAAAGAAATCATTTTTGTTTTTATCAAGAAAAAAGAATAAATAAATAAAAGAATATAACTCATGAATTATATATTTTATAGACTTTGATTTTTAATTATTTTATTATTATTATTATTATATTTTTTTTAGATTTAATTTGAAAATAAGTCATTAAATAATGTGGCCCTTGATGCAGTCGCGACGCATTGTTAGCGACTTTAGAATAAAATCACGCGTTCAACTTTCTTCGCGATCTTATTCAAGTAACGGAGAAATAAATGTTAATTGTTAATTTTTTTTTTTTTTTATATATTAAACTTACATTTAAGCACTTTATTTATTAACATATTTTATTTATTTGATCTGTTTGAAATTAAGAACTTCAAATGTTTTATATCAAAATTAACGGATCCATGGACGAACATTGCATTTGAAGAGTGGTACAGTTAGTTAAATATTATTAATTCTTTATTTAAAAATAATCTTTTGATTAATTTATATTAAAATTAAAAAGAAAAGGTTATTTAGAAATACGAATCCACAACATACTATACTTTTCTTATGGAGAAATGATTCATGTGTTGTTATCGGGAGAAATCAGGTACTTATATATAACCAAACCGGTATTTTAATAATTAAAAAGCTTAAAATATATATACGTTAGAATCCTTGGAAGGAATGTAATGTACGATTACTTCAAGATCATAATATTCCGCTCATCAGAAGAAAAAGC